TGAAGGCGAAAGGGGGTCAAACACCGTATTAGTATGGTGTTCCTAATAATCCTTTAGGTGAGTGTATACAGTATATATATATACACACACACACACACACACACACAAGACATTTACTGGAGGCTTTACCAGTCCTATTGTATATATATATTAATCTTGTATTAGATAAGACTTAATCATTCCAAATAATGAATCCTTGTCACAATAAAATTACAAACATAATGTAAGAAATGGGCAGGAAGCCTGATGTATTGTGACCACAAATGCTCAGTAGGTCTTAAAAATAGATCCGCAGTGAATGTTTTCCTATGGCAGACTTTCTGCAGGGGTCTGATACAACGATTTATCTCTCAGATCCAATCCAACCTCGGGAAATTAATTTTGAAGGAAGAAATAGAGAGATCAGTTCCCAATCAAAAGAAAACTCGCTCCCTTCCGGATAGGACTCCCATGCACCTAGGTAAGTATGTTAGTGTTTGCTTGCTCATTCGTGCTTATTTAAATGTGTATGTGTGTTTGGCTGTAATCTGTACAGGGAACTTTCCCTGAGGTTAATTACCTCAGTCCATTGTCCTGCATTAGCATCTGAATGAAATCTCAGTTTCATTAAGTGACACTCAGTAATAGGAGATTGATTCTAATACCATTATTGTGTAACTCATAACTATTTGGCTTTGTCCATGTTGGATGACCTGCTTGGGGCATTTTGTGTGTGCAAGAGAGGGCCAAGTACAAAACAAACATTTTTACTGTGCTCTGAGTATTCAGTGAAATGTATAGAATGAGTACAGGCAGAATTAGCGATGCTGTTTCCTGCAGTACCATGCAGAGCGTAAATGCAGGTTTGTGTTGCGGAGGCTAAGCCACAGAGGACCCCTAAAGGTCAGTGGTAGTCATTACAGATATGTGGTTAACCAATCATTTGTCACTGTTCACAGACTGGGTGCTCATCACTTGATTCTGCAGTGGATCATGCTTTTATTTATAAAAGTGATCAAATTTAGTATTTCTGTGCCTTGTATCTTCTATGTGGATTAAATTTGATAGTTATCACTGTTATAAAACGTTTTCACCTGTCTTACTTTTCAAATATGTTTCATGGGAAAATTGAGCATTATAAACTGGAAAGTTGAGGGTGTGGCCATGTTATTTAATGCAAATGCAACAATGTAATGTAGTAATGTAATAATTGGTCACGTTAATGTAGTAATATTTTAACAACAGTCTTCAAGTGGCATCCAAATCTTGTACACATCATAAAACCTGAAGCTTGAAAACACTTTCATTGATGAATGATAAATGTTACAGAATATATGAAAATAATACAGAATATACAAGTATACATATACCCATGTAAGATGTTATGTTTACAGTAGAGAATCAGAAACCTTGGGAATATTTTTTTAGCCGCATGTTCTGTGTAATCCTCTACTGATGTCCTTTTTAAAGACGCTACCAAGTATACTTGCAGCGTGTGTCAAATTTGAGATAAATACTGAGGATTTTAGGTTGCTTTACTGTAGGCTACTTCAAATATTAATTGAAAAACAGACTACCCAAATTTGTCACAACTTTGTCAGGCCAGCAGGGGGAACTAAGGTGGCTTCTAGTAAAGTTTCTTTGTATGCATAGTTATTTTGTGGTGGGAAATGCTCATCAGTACATCATTTCATGAAAGTGTGCTGGGTACGATTTCTCTTTAATTGATGTAAGTAAGGGATTGTCACAGTCCATTAACTGAAATGGAATAGGGAATTGTTTAGCGAGCGTTTATCTGGCTATTTCGAATTTCCTCAAGGGCTGCCATTTTTCTATAAATTAACCTTTCGACTATTTTATCGATTGGTCGACGACTATAAACGATTCATTTTCCTTGAAAAAACAACTTGACCGTTTAATTTCAGTTAATTTTCTATGTATTCTGATGTAGCAGGCAGACAACTTTATGGCTGTAATAATGAGTGTATTTAGCAGCAACAAGGACAAAATACATTAAAAAGCTCTCCATTCTAATGCTAATTTAATAAACGTTAATAGACAGCACTTAGGGTGTTTTTGCCAACTCTGGCGGTCCATCGTGACCGTCCCGAATCGCTCCTTTGTGCTTCCTCTTCTGGTGCTCGTGCATAGCGCTAGTGCCGCTAAGGTATGACATCGAACTTTGCACAGTGTAAAACCACCTTTTTGTTTTGTTATAATTTGAACTACTCCCACAATTACGTAGTGATATTAAAGGAAAATATTTGTTATAATGGATTGAAGCATTTTAGAAATCATATAAGTAATTTTATTAAAATAATAATAAAAAGTGCGTCGTTTAAAATATTGATGTCGACGCATTTTCAGCTTCGACGTAATCGACCACGTCGACTAATCGCAGCACTAGTTCCCTCAGATGATATATTGTAATTAAAAATCCAAATTTATTCCAGATAGACATTATTTTAGAAAAGTGTTTCAGATGATATGAGAAATAAATGTAGAAGGTATATCCACTTTACTGTACAGAGTGCTATGAGTTTGCCGGACACTTTTCATCGTCTCCCTGCAACGTAAAGGTTATGCCTTTTATTGTCTGTGTAATTGCTGCTGTAATGCTCAAATTTCCCTCCTGCAATTAATAAAGTATCTGTCTGTCTTATGTTCAAGCCAAATATTTATGTACTATATATGGATACAAGTATGCATATTTCAGTCAATATCTTCACAGAAAGTTTAATACCAAAATTTCTTCAAATATTTGTTTAAATTATTCTGTGGTTTATTTGTAGGTGACATTTCCTATGTGTTCTTTTATATCTTTAATGCTGGTTTGACTGTTAAGTTACTGTATCTTAGTTGCAGTCCTCCATGGGAACCGTTGCTTAGCAACCAGGAAATGTTTGCTTTCAGAGTTGTTCAAAATATGGTATTTTTTCTGATTCTCCTTTATAACTGAGGCACCAAATTACACTCAGACATCATCAGCTAGATTGTCAGCAACAGCTTGTTTGCTAATCAGTGATCAACAGTATCAGATACTATTTTCTTTGGTACATCCTTTCTCTCCCTGTGTTAGGACAAGCTGTCAGCCCCTCCTGATGATAAGGTTTTGCGGCTATCTTTGTCCTGAGTTTGCATATTAAGTGTATGCGCTTGTGGGATTTTCACGATGGACTTTTGCATTTATAGCGTGCCTACGGTGTCATAATGTCGCTATAACCTTCCTATAAACTGCATCAGATAGTCATGATATTACTGAATATCTAAGATGCCAGTTGTGGATTCAAAGATGAGGAAGGGGAGACTAAGTGCACATGGATTGTTTCTGCATCACAAATCATGCATTTTTCAAACAGGGATTTTTTATGTGGGGTCATGCACTGTTGAGCGTCATGTTTCAACACTGGCAAAAGTGCTGACGTGCTTGTTTTTATCCAATCTTGATTTCTCACAGGGCCATCTTCCAGAGCTTCCAAATCCACCTCTCTTCCATCATGCAACAGAACCGGTTTAACTCGGGTGGGTAGGATTAGGGTACCCTGAGGCCATAATTTAATATGAAACCATCTTTAGCAAGTTTTTCCATGCAATTTTCCTAGAATATATAGCCCATGCTGTGAAACTCTTGCTAGTAGTTTTTATTGTTTTTTTTTTTTAAATATAAAAGCAATTTGTTGGTAATCAATATCTCAATATTAATGGTACTAAAGAGACAGTGTATAGAACTGAGAACCGAGGAACCGAGTTTTATAAGCATCCTTCTGTATGTTTGTAGCTCCAGTCAGATGAGTTCTCACCTGACAGCGATAATGGAGGATCATCAGGTATGACAGAACAATCTCACCAGTGTACTTCCCGTGTCGCTTCACCAAAATAAAGTGATATATTCAAGCTTTCTTCATCAGAACTGGTTAGGCGCATGTTCAACTTTGTAAATCGCATAGATGTAATATCCATTGATCTATGCATAACTGCAGGTTATTTAACAGTATGATATGATGGTTTGATACCATGTTAGGTGATGTCCTATTGTTCTCTGTTCTTGTCATTTAGGTCTTCAGGTAAGAATATTATAGATATTTCTGGCTGCCAGCACCATCAGTTGTTTCCTACGTTTTCATTTTCACCTGCAAAGGTTGATAGTTCAGGTCCGGAATGTAAAAATACAGACCAAGATTTGTTTCAACCAACCAGTTGAGTACTCTGAGACTGTGACTCCTTATGCTCAACTGCTTGGTTGAAACAAAATCTTGGTCTGGACTTTTACGTTCTGGACCTGAAGCATCCACCTCTGTTCACTTGTTGATAGTGACATTCATGTGAGGCTTTCGATTTCCCCCTCACCCCAACATCCATCCATCATGAGCAGTGGTAGCGATGTCCCATGCTTGGTGCCAGTCTCCTGCGCTTTCTTGCATGGTGAAACTCTGCAGCAAGAGAAGAAAGGGGGCGTGTTATCTATATGCTTTGTGCAGTTATACTGTACGTAGTGAGAGGTGTGTCTGATGTGGGGGTGTGGGGGAGCATTTGTAGAATGGAGAGGCTCAGAGGGGGAAAGAGCAATCTCACTGCCCAGTATGTTGCAACAAGAGCTGAGAAGGACTTTGTTAATGCATTGCCTAATTAATCCCATATTCTCAAAGTTTTCTTATCCCAGTGTGATACCTGCCCTAGCGCACTTTTTCTCCTGGATGTTTCCCCACCCCAAATATGCACATTCATTTAATTTCTTTATCTAGTTCTTCATGCTTAAACGTTGACTTTAGAAGTATAAAGGAGGACAATGAGGGGCCAAGGTTTCACTTTGGGATTGAATTCTTTGTGGGGTGCTTTTGCTCATCAAGTGATCTTCAGGATTTTGTTTGAAATATTGTATCTGAAAAAGATGCATATCTATAAAGACTCTTTTTGTGCCACTTTTTTGTAACTGGACCAGACAGGACTCTGTCAGGGTGCAGCAGTGCTCTTCACAAGGTGAAATACTGGGTAGTGTTTTGAGTCAAGGCTGCTGCCTGTTAAATGGATTATGTGGGTTTTAGCAAAAACAGCCTGTTGATTGTGATGCATGGTTCTGTTTCCTCTTAATAGATTTATCCCTATGGAATGCTCATGGTGACTCACAGAGGCCAGAGTAAGCTCCCCTCCGACGTTGACCGAACAAAACTTGAGGTATGGCGGTGAGGAGTGTTAGCTCATTTCACTGATGAATCTCAGACATAACCATTTTTACCGTATTAAAATATGCTTTGAAATTTCTTGGTTAGAGGTGAGAAATACAGAACTTGAACTGTTAGTAGCAGATTGCAATCGGGATCTCCATAAAGTCTGGCCTGACAGCTGGAGATCACCTTCCTTTGTGATGCATGCTTAAAATTGGATAATCATCTATACTGAGCCCATATCTGTAGGGTTTAGGGATATCTGATATGTAGGCCCTGTTTGATGTGTTTTGTTCCTCTCTCCCTGCAGCGTCACCTGGCTCCAGAAGAATTCCTGGACGTGTTTAAAATGTCCATCGAGGACTTTGATCAGCTTTCTCTCTGGAAACAAAACGACTTGAAAAAGAAGGTTTTGCTGTTTTAGCGAGAAGAGACTTACTCATGAACACAGACTACCGCACGTCTTTGGAAACACATTCAAGAAAAGAATCAAATACAGAAAATATCAAATGCTAAACTTGGAATGGAACAAAAGTCCCATTCCTGAGTCATAGTCACCTAAAAATCGACTATCGACAGTTTTAAAAACTTAGGGTCTAGTAGCTGTGTCTCTTTCTCATACTACAATAGCAACAGAGGATCGTATGGATTGTGCAAAAGCCTGTCGAAGTGACATATCTTCTGACTGGTATTATTCAAATTGGTACCAACAAAGAAATAAGGTTACCAACACTTACTTGCTACATCCCACAGGCAGGGAAGTGAGTTCAATTATAGACCAAGCTACTCTATTAGTCCTCATTTTATATCAGAGCAGCACTGCCACTAAGACTTTAGCGAGGAAAACTATTAACTTACTTCTCAGTATATTGAACCGAGCAGCTGGGTATCAGTTAACATGCAGTACACTTCTATTGACATTGAAATACCAGCAGAATTAATGGGCTGATTTACTTGACCCTGTTTATTCAAACATAGAAGAATGTTTTTGAATTGTTTCTCAGTCATTTTGATAGTTTTCGTTTCAACTAATCTGTTTTTGGAAGTGGTGGAACTTCAGATAGATGCATTTTGATTCCTTTCCTAAAAGAGCTGATGATAGACTATTCTATATTATTACTATTTAGCTCCAACAAAATTGCACCGTCTAGAAATCTGCAGCTGAGTTTTTGGCTGATCTGCATTAGCATGTTAAACCTTCACTGATGTTAGTCTCAACTAGTGTCTTCAATATTGTTCTACATAGACGGAGCCTGACGTCTTAAAGGTACGCAGGACACATTGTCGGTGCCTACCTTTATTACCTGTCTGGTCCTATTGCTACAATACCTGCACATTTGTAAGCACCTTTAAGGTTTTTTGCTTTTGTTTTGATGAGGGCAGTGTCGGTATTGATTTGTATCACCATAACAAGCGCAATGTCTGCATCTGCAGCTCTGGCTACTCTTCTGTTATCATCACTCATTTACTTGTTTACTGTCCAGATAGACAAAAAAGGATTTGGTAACTTATGAGTTTGGAGTATTTCTCCATCATATCTGCACAGAAGCAAGTTCTGTGCATCATTCGTTTGTTCTTTGTAGGCAGTTTGTATTTTTTTATGTAGAGAACAGCATGAGTTTACAAAAGGCCTCATTTAAAAGTATTGATAGCTATTGATGGGGAACTACAGGTTGTCTTTAAAGTCATTGACAAGGGCAAAAAAGTGATCACAAACGCTCCACTCACTGGGGAAGTCAAAGAAGCACAGATACTTGCAGGGATAGGTCACTGTGGTGTGTGTGTGTGTGTGTGTGTGTGTGTGTGGATGGGATCCATGGGCGGACCACAGGGGTTACAGGCCAGATGGGTGCCCCACAATCTCTACATCATAAACCCTTTCAGCTACGTCCTTGAGAAGCAATAGTAATTGATATGTTCCCTTTTGAACTTATTTTCACTGGTATGGAAAGCAGAGCATAGTAGGGCAGCAGGATTCATGTGAGGGAATGTGCCTTAGTCCTAACCTACCCCTGTCCATTGGCTGCCTGACAGGGGGGGGCGGGGTGGAAGAAGGGGGGTGGGGGGGGAAGCGTGGGTAACAGTGTGGGCTGTGGAGGTGTCGCCAAAGCCAAAACTCTTCCCGAAGATGCGATGGGTGTTTGGCTGGATGGGAGGAGAAGACAGTGTGCCAGCTCATGGGATATGGGGAGAAGCACCACGCACATTCAGGATTCTGTGGAAATTAAAAGAAATCTCTCAGCACTTTATCAGCTCGCGGTTGCTTCATAGGTTTCTGTGTCCCTCTGTATGGCTTACTGCCGAGCATAACTACTGCGTCTGTTTTGGGTAGACGAGGTTCGGGTTGGGTCACCAACCCCTAGAGACAGGGTAACAGTATACCTCTGTCACCCACAGCGTTAAACGCTCAGCATCTCCATCAGATGCAGTCACACGCTTATGGGCATCGTCTGTTTCTTCTTCACCAGTCTCAAAACTGCTGATGCACTATGATTTTCATCAGGATATTAGAGATGTATTTGAAAATGCACACAAATGAATGCTGCACAGATGTGTTAGGGCACAGTTATGATTGAACCTTCATACTCATGTTCTCCATGTTGTCTGTTTTTCATGTGCAAGTGTGTTGGAAAAAGTACAAATAAAAAAATCACATAAAGACTGTTGGGGGTTTCTGTGTAAAACCACTGATTACAGACAGAATACATACAAACCGTATTTATATATTGTTCAAAGTATCTTTACGAAAGTCTTATCTTTAAATAAGTTACCTTTATAAAATCTATCATGTGCGCATTCTCTAATTTATTTTCCCTGGTTTTAAATGCAGAGAAGAACCGCTTTCAGATTAAAGAAAAAGAAAGTAAGTTGTAGAAAACATGTTTCTTTTCTCTGTTCAGAAAGCGATCTAAAGACGTAAAGCGTTCCTTAAAGCTGACATAAGGATGTGCAAGGCTATGACCGTGTTTGTGTTCTCACGAAGTGAGAGAGGGAGGGAAAGAGGGAGTGAGTGAGTGAGGGAGGGAAGAAAGAAGAGTGCGTAAAGAGCTCTCAAGGTGGTAGGAGTAATTAGCGGGGATGGCGCGGCTATGATCCGCTTGCCTTGTGCCACAAAGCGGCGGCTGGTCGGGGCACCGTAGCGGAGGGACTGCAGAGCGGTGGACCGACCCGCACACACAGCTATGCCTGGAAACGATACGGACCCTGAACCCTGAACACCGACAGCGATGGACAAACAAAAAGGTACGGGGCCATTTCCTCCATTACGACAGGATCTAAGCAGTAAGAAATGGAAATAAAGCGCTTGCATGCAGCATACCCGCGGCGATAGCTCGAAAAGTTTGCTGTTGTTTTCCTCAAATAAAAACGTGTTGGAAGCTGGAGGTGGACGCGTTTTTCTACTATGAACATCACAATGTGTCAGGCATTGTAGCATGAGAAACTATTCACAGTCCGTTTTTTTTTTAATCTGAAGGATAAAGTAGTCTGCTGTTAAATAACGTGTGATGGGATCTTCGGATGAGGCTCAGTAACTTTTTCTTTCCCCTCCAGTCGGCGTCAGTCTATTCTAATATAGTACAGAAATCCGATGGACCTCATACACATTTTCTTGTGCAGCGGTATCTGAGGTGTATCTTAAACATATAAATCGTATTAGTTAGCACGTTTTATTTATTTTGATCATTTTCTTATTTATTGTTTAGTGTACTGCTCGTATCTTATTACTTTCGGAGCGTTATTCCCCGATTCGTTGCCCTTCACTTCTTTACTGTTCTCGTCCACCCAGTTTTTTTTTTATTATTATTATTTTTCATTTATTGTTTGACATTAAAAAAAATTAAATACCTTGGGAACTAAGTGAATAAAACCGACCTTTGGTATAGGCTACTTACTGTGCACATTTCCCACAGTGGAATTAAGTTAATATTTTTTTAAGTGCAATATTATTCCAGGTAAGATGTTTGTTATATTAATAATTAAGTATGTGGTGTTATTGCCAGTATTTGGCTAACGTGGACCCAGTCCAAACTGGCCATTACTACGGTTGAGTAAAAACTTGTTGTTCTGGAAGTTGGCCTATGCAACATTTATCGTTTTAAAGGAATGTAAGTAATAACTATAGAGCAGTAGTCGGAAATGCCCCCAGCCACCACAATCTCCCAAGAGATCCCGAAACAGCCGACTATAGTTTGTTTAAAATATTAATGCCGGATTGATCTTTCTATAACTGTACGAGGGAAGGATAATAGAGACTAAACAACGAAAGGGGTTTTGTGCTGCATTAGCTCTGTTCTTTCCATTTGTATCCTGTGAAAAGTGACCCTGTTTAGCAACAGCATGACATCACGGATTATATTACAACAATACGCTATTGCCAGGTTTCCCCGGTCAAGAAAAATAAGAGAACTCCAGTCATTTGGAGAGTGTAATTGTTTATCTTCCACGTTGTGTTTCTGCAGTACAAATAAACGGCGATTTTACATCCATGAAGTTCGGAACACATGTAGATTTACTTTTTAAATATTCTACTGGGAAATCACATTTATTCAGTAGGCTACGCAGACTGTATAAATGGTGTGTTTCTAAATTTTTGCCGTCAAACCCACATACTGTGGCAGCTGAAATGCAGCGATTAATAATTTCATCCTCAGTCATGATTTTATGGTTTTGCCTTTACTATGGATCTCAAAACAACATGTCTGTGTTAGAGATTGATGTAATATTAGCCTAGTTTGATGCAAAGGTCTAATTCGTGAATCCAGCTCTCTAGGGATCTACTCTCCTTGAGACATTTCCTGCAGCTTCTTGCATCACATCATGAAGCAGGGTGTTGATTGTCACCCCGATGCCTGAGATTCTGAACATGTCTGATCTCCGTGTTGGTCCTGGGCACATACTATGTGCATGCACTTAAATGGTCATTGTGTTCAAAGCTTCCATGGCTGCTCAGGGACAGGATGTTGTGTTGATGGTAGGATGGAAGCCCTTAATTTGGGAGATCAACATTTCTGACTCATTTGGACATGGAATGGTGAACAGCATCTGATAGTTCCTTGGGATATTCTGGCGGGGTGCTCAATCACCCACACTATATCCCACCCTTCCTACATTTTTCCCCATATTGCCCTTGCAGACAACAATCCCAGCTGAAGACAATTTTGTGTGTCAAACCTGGTGTTTTGTGAGATTTTTTCGTGTGGAACATTAGTTTTAATGTAAAGTACACCCAAAACCCAGTAATGTCTTTTGAATATATTTTCAGCAGAAATGTAAAATAGTCCTTTTGTGATCAATAAACAAACATGCAATTTAATAATACATGATCTCATTAATTACAAGATTTTTGTTTCCTGATTTTGATGTGGTTTACCTTCAGTTTCCCATTGTTTAAATGGAAAGGTGTAGGAAAAGCTATCAAACCCAATTTTTCAATTCATGAGATTTTGCAGAGAGGCTGATTTTTTTTTTCCCCCGCAGTTCTTACATTTTCAGTTATTTAGCAATGCTTTTATCCAAAGTGACATACGTTTGTGAACACAGGGTCAGCCAATCCCTGAAGCAGCTGGTGATTAAGGGCCTCACTCAAGGGCCCAACAGTGAAATCCCTCTGCTGACTGCAGGATTTGAACCAGTGACCTTCAGATCACACGCACAGCATCCTGAGCCACAGAGCCACACACTGCCCCCAGTACTTAAAGCTGAGTAGGCCCCATAGACATCTGCAGAATGTGAAAAATGTCTCTGCTTAAAGTTTGAGGTTTGTTAATGAGCTGATATTACGAACCCCCCCGACCCCCCCCACCCCAATGCCAACTCTTTAAAAATGTGATTGTTGTATCACGCAGCTCAAGCGAGTCTGCCTGGCATAAATGTGAATGGCTGTTCTGTGGTTTGTTTTGAAATGTGACTAGGCGTACAGAAAAAAACGCGGGGTCAGATTTCTCCGTGTAATTAAAAGGAAGCGGAAAGGGTCCCCCCCCCCACCCCCCGTGCTTTGCTCTGGTTTCTTTCTTCAGGTGTTGATCCCTAATCATTTTTGATCAGCCAGCTCCTGAAAAATCATGTCTTTGTAGTCATTGGAGTCAACAGAGTCATTGTACAGTTCTTCTAGTATGTTTTGTCATTTGACAAAACAGTTCATATTTGTCATTTTTAGGATTGCTTCAGTCTGTTCTCCTCCAGTCCTCATTCACCTCACATCCTGAGGTGAATCTACCATGTGTGCCCCGAAATTATAATATAGGAAAGTACTTCTTCAATAAGCAAAACTGTGTAAATGTAAGGTTATGGATTTGGATTGAATGTTCTTTTTATTTTTATTTTTTATAGAAGTGAGCCATCTATCTTCCATCCTCTCATCCTACATCCTACTTAGGGTTTCAAGCTAGAAGCAGCCCATTTAGTTTAACTCTATGTGTAAAAGTCACTGAACAGAATAACACTTAGAAAACCTCATATTCACTGCCTGTTACGAAAATCAGTCTTCCTTACATAAACCTGAGATCAAAGAAACAATAAAGAAAGTTGCGCCCTTCCCAAACAGGTAAACTGCCTGCCCTTCTGCTTCCACAAAGGTTAAAACATCAGTTGTAACTGCAATTACATCTTTATTGAATGAGATGGTTTATTTACTTAAAGGTCGAAAAAGATTGGGCTGTTTGTCAGTGAGTCAGAAGGTATTATGGTGCATCTTCCGAAAGAACGGATTGTTTTCTGAGGATACTGAGGGAACAGGAAATGGAGCGGATGGAATAATGATACCTCTAAGGATTAAACGTTGGATGAAGAATGTAGTAAAGTGTTTGCCTCGCATGGAAGGCACGCGGAAAGAGCTACTGTGTGATTTCACTGGTAGTTATTCATGCTAGTGTCAGGAAGAGAGTGAGGTCAGAAAGAAGGCAGATAGGGCAGAACTGTTCCCAAAATTCCTACAGAAATCCTCCCCAATGTTTTTGTTTCCTTCGTTTTTATCAAAAATGTAAATATGAAATTCAGTGGAGGCCGTAAACAATTCTATCTTTTTCTTTTCTTTTTTCTTTTTTTTTGTCCC